GCACCCACAATGGACCCGAGCGAGGAGACCACGCTGCGCACCCACAATGGACCCGAGCGAGGAGACCACGCTGCGCACCCACAATGGACCCGAGCACACAGGCGTGAGCACCGAAGGCCCGCCCACAGGCACCCACTGGGCATCAGGGCAGCGCCGGGCTGGGCCCAGGGGCCAGCTGGTCCTGAAGCGGTCAGCCCCCTGCCCTGCGCACTGCCCCACGTGTCTGGGCACTCACCGGCAACCCGTTGGGACCCTTCTCTCCCGGGGCACCGTTGCGCCCGGCCTCTCCCTGAGGACAGTGAGAGAGAACACGCGTGCTGAGCCCGAGGAGGCTGGGCGAGACCTCGCCCCGCCCCAGGCCTGCCGGGCACCAACCTTCCCGCCGTCCAGTCCTGGCACGCCGTCCCGGCCATCCTTGCCTGGCATGCCCTGGGGACAAGGGACAGCACTGGACCTTTAGCCTTTGCTCACAACCCAAGTGGGGCTGCTCCCCCGCTCAAGGTTGGCAGAGACCACACGGGGAGGGGGAGCAGGCACCGCAGGCTGGTGAGGATACCCACGGTGCCCCTCGCCCCTCCATTCTCAGTACGCACAGTGTGTAGAAGTCTAACCCCAGGCTGCCTCGTCTGCGGCTGCTGCACCACAAGCCGCTTGAGGGAGCCGCTCTACAGCGCGTGTGAGTATCAAGAGCAGCCTGCTCAGTGCGGACGGCCCGTCTGAGGGGCCTCCGTCCGGCTGTGGGCCACGCGCCCGTGACCGCGGGGGGAGAAGCATTCTATGTCAGGGGGCTACAGACGGGGTGGGGGGCACCCAGATGGTGCCCAAGTACTCACCGGCTCTCCGCCCGGCCCCGCCACGCCGGGGAGTCCTTTGGGACCAGGTCTGCCCTAAGGAACACACGAGAGAAGCAGCAGCTGGGACCTTGCGTCTGCCTTGCTCCAACCTGCCCAGCCGCGGCCTGAGCCCTGACCTGGCCTCTGCGGCCACGCTGCAGGAGCTGAGGGCCCCCACGTGGCTATGTGAAGAAGGTGGGGGGAGGAGGGGACTGGGGGGGCCCTCCAGGCCTTCATGCATCTGACAGCTCACCCCCCGTGCACCCCAAGGAAAGTATCTCCCAGGAGCAGCCCAAAGTTCCTTGGCAGACCCCTCATGTTCCCCAGAGGGACCCCCAAGATGACTTCTCACTTACAAGGTCACCCTTGGGGCCACGGAAACCTTCTGGGCCTCGCTCACCTCTGTCACCCTGTGATTACAAGGGGGAGACAGCCACAGTGTTAACGTAGAGGATATCAGACAAACAGAGCAGCAGCCTGACGCAGCCTCTACCCCACGCAGCCTCTAACAGGCAGGGCAGAGGCCCACGCAGCCTCTAACAGGAGTAGAGGCCCGATGCAGCCTCTAACGGGCGGGGCAGAGCCCCACGCAGCCCCCGGTGGTCAGCCACGCTGCTGCAGTGGTGCTCACCCAGGTCCAAGGGGCAGGCACTGCTGCTCCCGTCCAGCGGGCTGGGAGGCGGCTCTCCTGTGACCACCGCACGCCTCCCTGCTGCCGTGCTGGGCCCCAGCATGCCACGGGAGCCCCCCCGCCCCGGGCCCTGAGCCCCGTGCTGGGCAGCCCGCTCCGGCCCTGAGCCCCGTGCTGGGCAGCCCCCCCCACCCTGAGCCCCGTGCTGGGCAGCCCGCTCCGGCCCTGGCTCCGGTGCTGGGCAGCCCCCCCCACCCTGAGCCCCGTGCTGGGCAGCCCGCTCCGGCCCTGGCTCCGTGCTGGGCAGCACCCCCCCCGCCCTGAGCCCCGTGCTGGGCAGCCTGCTCCAAGGCGGGGGCAGCCATCACTGTGATGCCGTGCGGGATGGGATGAGGGCTGCCCCACGGCCCACCCTCCACGCTGCACACACACGTACCACTTTCCCAGGTGCTCCTGGGACCCCGGGGGGCCCTCGGAACCCAATGGGACCCTGCAAAGGATAGAAGGCATTTGAGGCCCCTCACAGGAGAGCGAGCGAGGGAAGCTATGGGAAGAATCCGGAGGAGCCAGCCCGTTGCTGAGCCCATGTGAAGTCTGGGGTGGATTTGAGCCCTGTGCCCCACCGCCTGGGCCGATCTCACCCGGCCACCCCACCCAGGGGCTGCAGGACTCACCCGGTCACCAGGGGGCCCGAGAGGCCCGGGCAGTCCTCGCGATCCTCGGGGTCCCTGTGGGGAGAAGCGGGAGGTGCAGGAGCCGGTCTGCCTGTCCCGGCGCCCCGCTGAGCCCTGCCTCCGGGCCCCCTGCGCCCAGGTGTTTTTCCAGTGGAGCCGGCGCTCAGCCACGGCCCTGGGGCAGAATGCCCACCTTGGGATCCACCCGCCCCCAGGCCTCACCTGTAGCCCCACGGTGCCTGGGATGCCAGCAGGTCCGGGGGGCCCTGGGTCACCCTGAAACAGAAGTGTTCAGCAGGTCCACATGTGCTTCCAGCACCTTCCGCTGTCCCCGGTCCTCCCCCCCCCACCCCGCTACAGCCCACCCCCCTGCAGTGGCTGAGCTCCTCCAGGCTAAGTAAGGAGCGCGCTGCCCACAGCTCCAAAGAGGCGGTGCGGACACGCTCACGGCCCCAACTCTAGCCGCTCAGGACCAGAGATATGGAGACCATTTTGAAGCCTGGGAAGATAAATATGAGAGACTCTTAACCAGCCGAAAGCTGGACGTGGAGGCGTGGCTCAAGCGGTAGAGTGCCTGTCTTAGCTGAAAGCTGAATGAAAGTATGAGTTCAAGCCCCAGAACCAGGAAAATTTTAAAAAGCAAACACAAAACTTAAAAGGCAACATAGACCTCAGTGACCCACTCCTGTCTGCACCGCCAAACGCCCCCAGCCCTCCTCCCCTCCCCCCTCCCCCCTCCCCACCCCGCCCCACCACCGGGAGCCCAGGCTGCATGTGCAACCTGCTCGCTCCTACCATGCAAGGACAGCCCAGATGCACACAGCCCTCCCTCCACACACCCCCGCAGGCTACCAGGGGAGGGGAGGGGACTTGTGTCCCACAGTTCCCCACCCCCAACCCCAGGAGAGGGTCTGTTGGGGTGCCCAGGCTCCCCGGGGGCAGTCTGTGTGTGAGGGGCAGAGGGCGTCCGGCGCGCCTGCCCAGAGCAGCGGCCCTGGCCAGCCAGCTCTGTGGGGGCAGCAGTCCGTGAGGCTCGGCCTCGGTCCTTGCGGCCTCTCCGGGCCAGCACCCCAAGTGTGGACAGCGTCTCACCTTCTCTCCGTCTTTGCCCACTTCTCCCTGGTCTCCTTTGTAGCCTGTCAGCCCCTGAAAGCAGACGTGGGTCTCATGGCCTCCCAGAGCCTGGCGCCCCATCCTGACCAGCACTGAGCCCTGGGGCAGTCCCTGCTGCACTGTAGCGGGCAGGACCCAGCCAGGCTCCAGATGGGGAAACTGAGGCACCGTGACTCACCAAGGACCCTCATCTGCCCAGGAGGGGCAGTGGTGAGGCGGGACGGGTGCATGTGGGCTGTCTCTGTGACACCCCAACCCTCTGGCCTGGGCCCAGCCCGTCACCGGGCGTCGCGTGTGTCACCAGACCAGAGCGGAGGGCCCACCTCGCTTTCCCCGTCCAAGCCTGGACCCCCAGCTCCCACAGTGTGAGGGAACCCGGCTGTCTCCTGCTAGTGGGCCCAAGTCACCCGGCAGCCACCTCCTTACCTTGAACCCCGGCATTCCTGGGGGCCCAGGCGGGCCGGGTGGGCAGATGGCAGGGCACTGTCAGGAAACAGAGTGGTCAGGGCCCCCAGCAGGCCCTGCGGCGGGCCTGTCCACAGGGGAGGGCTGCAGGGGCAGACGGCAGCCAGACACCTTCCTTCCACGCCCAGGCCACAGCCACGCTCTGCTTAGACACCTGCCCTGCCCTCCCGGACCTCGCCCACACTGCCTCGGCAGGCTGGGCCAGGGACAGAGCTGCGCCACTGGCCCGTGCTAGGAAGCGATACCCTCCCTCCGGGAGAGAGGCCCCGGAGTCACCAGCAGGGAGAGAGCCTGTGGCCTCTGGCGTGAAACCAAAGTGGGTGAGGGCTTGCTTTCTCTGCAACACACAAGCCACTGTGTGGGAGCAAGGTGCTGACACGGAGCCCCTGGGCAGGAAGGGAAAAGGCCCAGGCCCCAAGTTCTTCCCTCCCTCCCTCCCTCCCTCCCTTCCCTCCCTCTGTCTTTCCTTCTGTTTGTCCTTCTTCTTGTTCATTTAATAGGAGTAGCAAAGGTAAAAGTGACTCCTCTACTCCAGTGGGAGCACTGTGTGGGGAGGGACGGACTGCGTGCCTTGCCCGGGGCTGGGGAGGGACAGACTGCGTGCCTTGCCCGGGGCTGGGCTGGGGAGGGACAGACTGCGTGCCTTGCCTGGGGCTGAGCGTCCACCTGCTGTGTGTGGGGGGGGGGGTGGCGCGGCCTCTGGGCAGGTCAGATGGCCGCAGGACAGAGTAGGCAGGTGGAGGGCTGCCTGCGAGGCCGCGCCAGGGACCCGGGGCTCTCCGGGCACGCCTGCTGAGCGGATGCTCCTGCAGGCAGCGGCCCCCACCAAGACAGCCCGGCTGGTTCCTCACAAGTGCCCACCTGCAAGTCACCGGCGCCTTCCGGGAGGACCCCAGGGTGGCCCTGGAACACAAGAGACAGCTGACGGCCCCCTGCCCCGACCCCAGGCCACACACGACACGGGCCTCAGACACGGTTCCCAGGTGCCAGTGCTGGGGGTCACATGACGATGCTGTCCTTGGGGTGAGGGTGGGGTAGTCATCTCTGGGATGTGGGGGGGGGGTGAGGTTTGTGCCTGGTACACGTCCAGACCTCTGCCCCGTACTTACGGGAAGTCCGGGAGGGCCTGGGGGTCCGGGCAGGCCTGGGGGTCCAGAGGGTCCCTGGGGGAGGGGTCGTGACTCAGTGGGAGCGTCCCCTTCTCCCAGCCCTTCAGAGGGTCTGCTGTCCCACTGCAGGGCATCGGCCCACGCCCCACGGGAAGCAGGAAGGGGCTGGGGGAGGGGCAGGAGGAAGGGGAGGGGGATCATGAGGCTGGGGGAGCACAGATACAGCTCTGGGGTGGGGGGGCACTCACCGGGGGGCCTCGCAGGCCAATCCCACCGGGAAGGCCGCTCACGCCCGCCTCTCCCTGGAGGAGGAGAGAAGTGAGAGGTGTGGATGGGGGCTGCGGGCGGACGGGCGCTCTGTGAGGACCTGGGCCGGGCCCTGGACGCCCCCCATGCTCTGGGTCACCCCAGCCGGGCAGCTCTGGGCATGGGGCAGCTGCGGAGCTGGCATGCTGGGGGCTTGGGAGAGTGAGTACTCACGGGGGGTCCTGGAAGGCCTTTGCCCTGCAATGCCAAGCACAGAGTCAGACACATGGTGGGGCCCCGGGGGTGAGGGCTGCCCCACCACACAAGGGCCAGCCCAGGCCGGATGCTGGGCATCCCAACAGGCAGCAAAGGCTGGCCTGCAGCCACTTTGCCACGCTCTTCCCCCAGGGGCTCCCCGAGACCACTCTCCATGCCTGTACCCTCCCCCCTCCCCGGGCTCCCCGAGACCACCTCCCCATGCCTGTACCCTCCCCCCTCCCC